AAGGAGGGAGGGGGTGGGGGGGCAAGGGGTATAGGCTGGAAGGGGGGGCGGGGAGGCGAGTGAGTGTGGAGGGAGGGGATGGGGGTAACGGGAGGAAAGTGATGAGGAGGGGACAAGCCCTGATCCGCATGTCATCAATGGTACGCTCAGTTTTCACACTGTCTACAGCTACAGCTGCTACACACACAGGGCAAAGAAGGCGCTTCTCATCTGTGTTTGATGTGTATGCCAGCTATACGCCAGTTGGCGTACACATACCAAGCCTCAGGGGAGGGAGGGGATAAGAGAGGGGTAAGGGGCGGAGAGGGAAAACAAGGTTAATGAGGGAGGGGAGGGGAGGCAAGGGGTAGGTTGTCAGGAAAGGAGGAGGGGGGGGGGCAGGCAAGTGAGTGCGGAGGGCGGGGACAGGGGTAATGGGAGGAAGGTGATGAGGAGCGGACAAACCCTGATCCGCATGTGATTGATGGTACACTCAGTTTTCACACTGTCTACAGCTACACACACAGGGCAAAGCAGTCCCTTCTCATCTTTGGTCGATGTGTATGCCTGCTATATGCGAGTTGGCGTACACATTCCAAGCCTCAGGGTATACTCAGACTACCGTAGGACGTTTTTCTTATTTCTGGACGTAATTGCGGTCAGATTCATTCAGGTCTGGCCTTAAATGCGGTCAGATACATTTAAGATAGTGCTAGTTTGATTATGCCCTCAAGGATGAATGAGATACGCCCAAAACGGGTGATCAACTATGGCTTCATGTGTTTTAACAGAGGAATTCCAGTGCCTAGTTGCGAGAGAATGGCACTTGGATGTCTGGGTGCAAGGGTTTTCTGGCCTAAATTCCAGTGCTGTTATGATCCTGGCTAATTTCGAAGTGCACATTCCTCAGAAAGTACAATGACGTCCACTTGCAAAAAGAAATGAATGAACTTGAGAGGAGAGAGAGGGAAAGAAGAAGAAGAAGAAAAAGAAGAAGAAGAAGAAGAAGAAGAAGAAGCACCAGCATAGACCAATGATAATGCTCTTCTTCTTCGCCAACCACTCTCCTCCTCCTTATCTCCTCCTCTCTTATTCAAACAAGAATAATAATAACAATGTTGAATGGCTGATCCATAATCAATGTCCGAGTCCCTCATCTACTGCAGGTATCACTTGAGTTCCACCATAGCCATGGCCGGCCCTCTCTCTCTCTTCCTCATAGTCCGAGGCTATGGCGGACTACCAGGGCATTGCCCTGCTGTCCAAAGGACAACACAAAGCAGCTATGGATGCTCTAGCCCAGGCCGCCATGCCTGACTCTGCCTCAAAGCTTCTCGGTGTAGCTCTGCCTGCTGCAGCGGCCACCAAGGTGATTAAGATGGCAACCACCATAGCCAGGTAAGAACCTCTGGCGCTCCCCTTCCTAGTCGTGGTTTTCTTCCTCCTCCGTGTCCGTGCTCCTTCCAGCGCAGCTGTGTGCTAGCGCTGCTCCAGCCAGCACTCCAACCAGTGTGTCGCCAAACTTGCACACCGACAATGAGGAGGAGCAACTGGCTCCTCCTGGGGATATAGCGGCCCGCTTGCCTCTTGGCGAGTGACTTCCTAGGCCGTGCGGCCTCCAAGCATCCGGTACCACCTCCCTTTCGGAGGGAAACATCATCGCAGAGTCTGATATTGCCCGTACAGGCCCTAGGCTCAGACTGGGTGGAATGGTACCTGCCTAGACCTAGCCTACAACAACTGGGCCTCTAAAAATGCCAACTTTTGTCTTCTTCTGCTCGGCCTCGAGTACCCGGCACATCTACCTCTCTACCTGGTGTGGTACCGTGCTACTTGAGTGTTTTCTGCTGCTTCAAGTGGACCTCTTTCCCCACCACTTGAGTGTTTTCCCCTGCGGCAATCCTCAATGTCACGGCCACAGGTAAGTACCGGCCCTTCGGGCCCACTGAACGAACAAGTGCCCTTGCGGGTCACACACAAACTCGAGCCGACAAGCACTCAGACAGACATGCAGACCAGCAAGCGTGCACACACACAGACTTAAAGAACTCAGTAACAAGCGGGAAACTCAGCAAGGCATTCAGTCCATGAGCAAAACTCAGAAATCAGCTGTGTGTCTCAGTCCGTGTTTGGTCAGGTCATTACAGCGCCCAGTTAAGAGGGAGTGGGGGTTGGATGTTTTGGGGTAAGGGTACTAAGAAGGGCATAACTCTTCCTCCATGGAAGATGGCTAGATTGATTTGTTACAGACGGTTTGGGAAACACACTGCTTCATGGGGGCTAAAAGATCCTCATCTGCATAAAGTTTGGACTGTTAAGATGGTTCTAGCTCCTCTGTTAAGGTGGTTCTAGCTCCTCTGTTAAGGTGGTTTTACCGTTTTAGGCTTTTAGCCCCTCTGTTAGGATGTTTCTAGCCCCTGTTTGGGAAACGCACTGTCGCTTCATGAATTGGCAATTGGACAACTGTACAAACAGAGGGGCAAGAACCATCTTAACAGAGGGGCTAAAACCGAAAACGACCTTACAAAGGGGCATCTTGAAGAGTGAATTGGTAAGGCACGCAAGTGGCATTCAGGAGGTCGTGGGTTGAATCCCCATTGGCCTCATGGTACCTTCCTGGGCAAGCTTGGCCCCCGCCACGTAGAGACAGGCCGTTGGTTCCACCGAGCGGCATTGAGCAGAGACTGCTGATGTTCGTAAGGGGGAAGGAGCTGGAGGGGAGGCACAGCCACTGGCCCATCGAAGAAGCTCGGTCCTGATGCTACCGACTGACCCCCCTGGTCGGTATCGCCCACCTGCAGGTTGGGTTACAGCCCTCACCTGTTCCCTCGTTCGAGGCTTGAACTCTCGGGCTGGCTGCTACAGTGGTTCCCCGTAATTCTATAATGATAATAAAAGGCCTGAAAGGCCGTCCTGTCCAGATTCGACAGGTAATTGATTTGGTTGGGCTTAAAAGAATTAGCCTTTTTAAACTTCTTTGAAGTTTTTTTCTCACAAAACAAACTTGACAAAAGCAAAAAGAGAAAAAGAGTAAACTGGTTGGTTGCAGATGGTTTGCGAAACACTGCTCGTCTGTGGAATTCGCACTCCTCCGTTGAAGTGCTAAAAAATGTTGCTTGACCAGTGGACAAGGTACTGCCTTCATGATTCATGGGAGGGAGAAAAACCCTGCAAGTACCTTGTGCTGACAACTGAAAGCTCGTTTCCCAACACGTGTTTTGAAGTTCAATCCATCAATAAGTCTCTCGGTCATATAGTTGCGTTCAGTCTACATTCAGGGCAAGTTCTCCGTCTTATTCTCCTCCACCTCCGTTACCTTCACGGCCACTTCCTCCTCCCCAATGTCCTCCTCGTCGCACCTCCTCCTCCTCCTGCTCATCCTCCTCCTCCTCCTCTTCACCGCCATCTCTTCCACCCCCATCACCTCCAATTCCTTCTCCCTCGCCCTCTCCACCTCCTCCTCCCCTACCTTCTCCTCCCTCTCCTCCTCTGCTCTTTCTTTCTCCTCCACCGCCGCCTCCTCCCTCTCCACATTGGCTCCCTCTTCCTCCTCCACCTTTACATCCTCCACCGCTGCCTCATCGTCCTTATCATCATCGTTGTTATTGCCACTGTCATCATCGTTGTCGTCATCATCGTCCTCATTATACTATAAGTCTATAACCTGTATTTCTACTGTCCTTAGATAAGTCACCCCTACCGCCATCTGCACTCCCCTTCTGTTCACTCTTCCTCTGTGGATGACTTAAGCTGGACTCTATCGGCTGCGTTGCAGAGCGCGGTACAAGAAGTTGGTGGAGACGATTGAGGCAGCTGAGGCGCATGCCTTTGCTATCGGAGTTGGAAAACTGCCGTCTGGGAGATTCTCCGAGTCGGGTGTACCTGAGAACTCAGTGCCAGACTTGGGCACAATCAGGGATGGTCAAGTGCACGTTTCCAAAGCGCCGGATCCAGAACGACCTGCAGGCTTGGTGATATCCGCACCTGTCCATGGAGTCCAGCGGCTAGGAGATCGTTACCAGGACAACACCTCAGAGTTGGCGGCCAACTGCGAAGTGACTGTCCAACAAGCTGATCTCCGCCACAGTTGTTGGAGACCGGAAAGTGTTCAGACAAGGAATGGAAGTGGTGGGATTACTCACCACCATTCAGCCGAACGCGTGCAGAGTCTGCAGACCCTCCGGCTGGCAGATCACCAGAAGACGGCCACAGGATTCGTTCCCAATAATGGTCCCAATGCTTCTGTAATCAAGGAACCTCTTGATGGCCACGGTTGTTGGAAATCCGGAAGCACAGTGACCACGAACGGAAGCAGGGCCGGTCGCCCCCAGTCGTCCGAAGGCCCACACCTCGTGCAGGCGGAAGGTCACCGGCCAAAGGCCACAGAATACACGCCAAACCATGTGGCATCCGATCAATCGACTGCTCAGAGGGGTTGCCGACAGCCTCCAGCAAATGTAGAGACAGGGCACACAAGCCAGGGTAATCATCAACACGCGGCCCCTGATCGATACGAGTCGCCCGCGGAGCTTGTCCAAGAAGTGAGAGGAGGGACAGAGAAGGCATTCGGCATTGGTGTCAACGACCGTGAAAGGGAACTCCTGCGAATGCTGGAGAGGGTCTTAAATGGGGATGCAATGAAGACAGGGGCAGTGTTGAAGAGTGAGGGCGGTTTCGAGGAAAACGGGTCGTCAAAGCCGCATGGAGGGAAGGAGGGCTCCTTGAGGGGCTCAACTGCGAACGCGGCAGGTGCCAATGCCCATGTTGATTGCAATGTGGATGTGTCAACTTTGGATCGCCCAGTTGCATCAGGAAGGATTCATGAGAGTATGTCGGAGGAGACGGAGAAGCGGCGGCACGGACAGGACACCTGCACTCCTGGCGAGTCGATGCCCGGACCGGATACTGTTGAGGAAGTCGTTATATCGGCCGTTCAGCGGGAGGTTGAAAATGCTGTTGCCGAAGTCAAATTGCGAATGTTGGAGGAGAGACGGAACGAGCTGGAAAGGCACAAGCAAAGGATGGAAAGAGAAAAGCAAGAGGCGGTGGCTAAGGTGTTAGAGGAGGAGAAGAGACGGCAAAGACAGATTGAGGAAGCGAGGGAGCGGGAGATTGTGAAGATGATGGATGCAGCTGTGCAGAAGGTAGAGGAAAGGATGAAACGGGTAATGGAAAGAGAAAGACAGTGCGCAGAGGACGAACAACGAAGAGCGGCCATGGAGGCAGAGGCTATGGTGATAATAAATTGGGAGAGAGAGAGAGAGAAAAGATGCACAAGCCGAAGTGAAGAAGGGCATGACATTGCGCTTCAGCATTCGTGCCAAGCTCACAATCAAGATCAAGCCGAGGTTGCAGCTGTTAGTGAGGTGACCGCAGAGGCAGCGGGGAAGTTGGACGCAGTTTTCTCGGCATGTGATTATTACAAGAAGCCAACCGGAACTGCAAAGGTCAACGATGTACTGACGGAAACAGCAGGAGGAGCAGAGACTTTGGTGGCAGGGAAACGACCAACGATAGCGGGCGACCAGATGGAAAATAGTGGTGAGTGTTGATGGGTAACTACCAGGCAGTATGAACTGACTCAACTCCGTATATGAGCAGTGCCCCTGTCTTTCCTCAAAGAGAATTCATGCAGTTCTCCAATCAGCCAATCAGATGCAGAGATGCAGAGATGCAGACATCATGCCCGGTTCCTGGCTTGAGCATCTTTACGCACAAAAAAAACGAACAACAACAAGGGTTAAAAAAAAGGTAGGTTCCTGGCCTCGTGGTACACCTGCGAGAGTCCGTACTTACATTGTAAGATCCTGGTTCCGGTCTGGCTCCGCTCTCTACGCCCCCCTTGAGTAGTAGTAAGGGTTGGGTGTTAAGCATATCCGATTCCCAAGGGCGGGCCTCATGTCTATCTTACGATGCTTGCGGGCTGGTACCCGTCTGCGTTCCCATTGAGGGGGTCGTCTGGGGCATGAATCTTGGGAAGGCTCTCTGGGTAGGGGTCTCATCTTAGGCAGGAGAGGGTGGGTCCTCACATTGATAGTAGAAGGATGGTAGACACCCATAGAGTTTGCTACATATGATACAGGTGGGGAATAATCACATATCTGTGAACCCTCCTGTGTCCGGGTCGTCCTCGAGAATTCGGGGGGTCCCTATGGTAGCTCCCGCGGGGGGAACACTCATCTGAGACCCTCGGAAGGCGCGAGTTGGTGTAGGTCTAGGTCTAGAGACAGGTCTGTGTCGCACCACTGTAGGGCTCGACTTGCGATCTGATTAAGATTACAAAAAAAAAAGAGTTCACGAATGATGCCCCGGGACTGGAGGAGACTGTCCTTGGGGCTGTCACAAGCCATCCGATCTCCCCACTGGTTGAGTACGGCAACAGGCACCCCTCGAGCCTAGCATCCAGCCTCTACTACGATCTGCACTCTTTTTTTTTTTGTTGGGGTTGGGGGGGGGGGGAGGAGAGAGCTCTTAAAGACTGAAAGCCTTAAGCCACCAGTACCTTGCCCAGGCAAACTCGAGAATTGAAATTGCGTCAATCCGGGTTCTTCGGATGCACAGTGCTACTGGACCAAAATAACTGGCGGTGCCAGCGAAAAGAAGAGGAAAAGTGCACTGTTGGCAGTTCTTTTTTCTTTGGCGCTCAGTGCAAATCCACATCGGGAAAAACAGGCTCGGAGGTACTGGTGGTTTAAGTGACCACTACCTTTTGTGACTGTACTGGTTCAAGGAGGCTCGCTCATCTTTAGCGAGGCGAGAATGGTATGACTAGGTCATATTCGTTATGCCATGACGCGAGAAGGGCAAGATTGCGAAGTAGCTGAAAGGGTACCAACATGACCAGGGGACACCGGATTCGGGAGAGCCAAAAAAAGGGCGAGGGTTTCAATAATAATCACTAGTGCTGCTCCCCACCAATAGATGGAGCATTTGATTTCAAAACAAAAAAAAAGGAAAGGAAAAAAAAAGACTAGCCAACCATAGAATAGTAACTTAGTAAGTAACAGACAATGGGCACCAACGCCCAAGCAAGCGACAGGAGGATCTTTTTTTTTTTTCTTTTGCCTCTGACCCCACTCCATCTATTGGTGGGGATCTGCACCTGCCGGAAATCGGGTCCAGCGTCCCTTGAACAACCCCAGTGCTCGAAAAAAAAATAAAAAAAAAAATTGACAGGAGGATGTGTGCTTACTCTAAGAGGAGGTTCCAATGGGAAGCAAAAGACGATTTTTTTAAATTTTTTTATTTTATTTTTATTTTATTTTTTTTTTAAGAAAAAGAAGAGACAATGACAGAGAGATGTGAAAACACACCACTCATCGCTACTATGATACCCAGCTTTCTTGTCCTTTGGGACATACCATTAAAATTTAAAGTTGGAATGATACAGAGAAGAGTAGCCTGGCCCTCCTGCGCCAGGATGACACGCATAAATTGGAGAATGGTCCATATTAAAAAAAAAAGGGAAAAAAAAACAAGAAAAAGAAGGGGTGTATGCAGCTCCCTCAACTCTACGCATCAAAAAAGATTGTGCCACTGGAACTCTTTACCGTATTTGTATGTATTACGACAAACCATAGAGTTTTTCATGCATCGACAATCAAACTCAAGTCCAATCAGTGTGGACAACAGTTCACACAACAAAACACTTAGTGAATTCGCAACGGCATCCCCGACACACGTTTTGACTGCCGCCATGGAGTCATTCTCAGGTGGTCACCACCTTCGCCTCCCTTGGCTACACCAGCACTCGATACTCTTCTCCCGCATCTCCGGAAATGCCGGAGGACCGCACTGCGTTAGTCCTGAAAGAGGGTTATGAACTTATGATTCTCGTACGACGGTACTACGACCCTGTTAAGTAATCGTATACCTCGGGGGTCGAAAAGTTACCTCGCTTCAAAGCGCCGTAAGCACCCGCAACTGGTCCCATGTCACTGGTCCACGGATTGAAACGGGGCTGTTATTGAACAAGACGACAGAAGACCAAAAACTACGAACTACAAAGTCCTTCCCGGGTTGAGGCCCGGTGGTATGAACAACACACCAAAACAAAATTCGGCCGGCACAGTGGTACCAGTGCTGGACTTGGTTCAGCAGAGAAGTTCCGTAGAAGACATTGTTTGTCCCTAAAGCATTCCATGAAAAAGTTCGGCAGAGAAAAAGTACCAGAGGGGCGGGTGACTTGCCAATCGCTTCGCGCAGGCCTCTAGCGAGCCTGCTAGTGCTATTCTTTATAGCTCAAAACTTGTTAAGCCTCCTATCTAAGGAAGAAAGAAGTGGTAGAGGTAGTAGCTGGCTTACATAAAAAAAAATCGGCTGCGACCAATGGTTCTGGGAAAAGGGTTGGGACTCGGGAGTCTTGGGACTCATTCGAGAAGTTCCCGGATCCGGGCAGGATAAGATTGAGACCCCAACTCCGGGCAGGATAAACAGATCAGTCAGGAAGGAATTCTTATTGCCAAGGTCTCTAGACGTGATGTTGTCCAAATGCGCAGTATGTTGTTGTTGTTGTTATGCACCATGGACATTCCACGTTTACTGTGAGAAATAGTGACCCACATGGAATATTCATTATATTCTTCCTTTCTTTCTTCTTAGGGGCTCACCACACCACTGCTGAAAACACGATTTTCGATAGTTTCTCTTGGCCACACAGCCTGCTGATACTGGAGACGGGAAAAAAAATTAATTCACAAGTTGTCAGAGAATGTTTCTCGACACCTCCTTCCGAAAGCTGTTGTTGAATGCGCTCAACGGTCCTTGGCTGCGCGGTCGACTTCTCGTCGAAATTTGGCGAGTGGGCGTGAGGCCGGGATGGACTAATGCTTGTTCTACCCTCAGGCGCGTTCGTCTGTGCCCATCGTGTATTCACAAGTGCGTCCATTCTACAGTGCTGTGTGGCTAAACGGGGGGCAAACTTTTGCAAGGGCAGCTGTCAAATTTATTCTGACAGCCGTCGAATTTTTAAGCCTTTCTACCGTGGTGTGGCGAGCCCCTTATTCTTCTTCTTCTTTGTTATCTTCTTCGTCATCGTCTTCTGCGTCTTATTCTTCCTCTTCTTTTTTCTTTGTTGTCATTGTTGTCATCGTCACCGACAGCGTTGTGGCCGCCATCGTTGTCTTCGTCTTCGTCTTCGTCTTCGTCTTCGTCTTCGTCTTCGTCTTCGTCTTCGTCTTCGTCTTCGCCGTTGTCTTCGCCTTCGCTGTGGTCCTCGCCTTCGTCGTTGTCTTCGTCTTCGTCTTCGTCTTCGTCTTCGTCTTCGTCTTCGTCTTGACGTGTTTGTCACCGTTTTTTATTTGGTCTGTTCTGTCGACAATCTAATGGGTACACATAGTTTTTGCATCTTCAGGGAGAGATTGAATCGATTTTTCAGCAGCTAGTTGGGGTTTAAGGGAATGCGCTGAATTGGATGGTACTTGAAGATCCAGGGAGTTGGATAGTAAATTTCTCCCTTTTGTTTTGTGTTTCATTTGAGGAAATTGCATGGCAATTTTTGTTGGATTTACCTAGGAAGATTCTCACGCCTGGCCGGGCACCCGGGCGTGCAAAAAAAAAGAAGGAAAAATGGTGGTTGTTTTTTTTGGGGGGTTTTCTGCGCTCTCCCAGAGGACCCCAAATCCGGGCTCATTTCGTTTTTTGCGAGTTGGCTGTCAAGGGGGGGGAGGGGGGTATAAATTGGGCTAAAGGGGTTTGAAGTGGCGGTGCCTTAGTGTGATTCTGTTTTTTTCTTTTTTATCTCCAATTCGGTGAGGAATTCTATTGTGACCCTCAGCCAAAAGTCGTTTGTATCTCAATT